ACCACAAAGCCTGTGATGACAAAAGAAATATATTTTCAAGGATTGAAATTAGATAACGTTGAAAATATCATGTTAGAAAACAATAATCAACAACACCAACCAGTCCGACCAGGAGCCGCTGACAATCCATCTCAAGCCAGGGTATCAATTTCCGACTCTTCGGATCAAAATTCACCAAATATTGGTGGAGCTACCCAAAACTCCAATCCGGTGGCAAAACAAAAACAACAAATTTCTTATGCTGATGCCATTAGACAAGGAAACAAATTTACTATTGACGACTTACCAACACTTAATGATTCTCAACTCTCTGAACTTTCACCCAACCAAAGAGATGATTACATGAAAATTTATTATGAGAAACATTTTTTAGAAAAATTATCACCTGTTCAAAAGAACAACCATCTTAAACGTATGTTACATACATCAAGTGAAGTCAAAAACTTCTATTACCACTATCTTCATGATCAAAATGTCATGGCCACTCAATTTAAAATCAAAAATCCCATTCACTCAAATCAAGAAATTCAAAAAATCTTAGAAAATCACTTAAATTTAAAAAAAATAGAAAATGAAGAAAATATAAAAAAAATATACAACAACACAACCCAAATTTCAACAAGTATTCAAAACATTAATGAATTATTAGAAGGAAATCAAACAACTGAGGAAATCAAACAACTTACAGAAAAGAAAAAATCACTATTAATTCAACTTGAAGATGAGAACAAAAACCAAATTATGAAAGTGACAGAATGTAAAATCCTTGAAATTATTATTTTTGAACTTACAGGACAAGATATTTATGTTGCCACCCCATACTTAAAAGAAATTGAGAAAGAAATCAGATTAAGACCATACCTTATATCACTTTTAACCGAACCCTTACAAGTTCTCCCAGAATTCTTAGATGACTCCAGCAATCCTAACAAATTGCTTCCAGTTCAACTTTTTCACGCCGACCACAATCTCGATCAAGTAGTCTTAGCCAATTTTTATTGTAACGGTGCTTATATTAACTGTTGGCACAGATTGTTATTGGAACACTTCCCACCAGGAAATGAACCAAATATTTTGAAATATCATGTCCATGTAGACAAAAATACCAGCAAAGTTTTCAAACCCTTTGCTCAAC